CCCTGTTTTACAGCTCTAAAATGTAAATTTACTTGCACACGAACGCGCGAGCAGTGTAGACAGCAGGCAAGTTTTTACGCAAGGGCTGTTCTTGCGCAAGAAGCTGCCAGTGTAGACATAGCCTATGTGAACGATTATGCCAAAAGCTGCTCTTGGCTGGGCCTCTGTTCCAAAATCAATTGCAAAGGCTGAGCCAAGCAGCCTTTCAGACTCCACAGAAGGAAAAATGAAGCCTACACATGTACTAGAGACAGCTACAAACAATGGAGGGACCAGGCCAGGCACATGGCAGGTCACAGCTAAGGGTTGCCCTGATAGCCAGACAGAGGGGCGAGGCTATGTAGAGTGAGCCCCAGATGCCCCATTTTTAAGGGGACAGTTCTGTATATAAGCCCTCCTGCTGGTGTTCTGATTTGTTCTTAAAAACAGGCAAATAGTCCCATATTTCCGGTCTCCCCCATGTCAGGACTGGTGGGTCCTACTTCTGGCTGGATCTCTGCTTGCCAGCTGCCCACCCACTTACAGTGATGGGTGGGGTACTGGGGGGAGGGGTTGCGAGGCTGGTGGTGAAGCATAGCTGCAATGTGTGGGTCCGGCCTCTGCTCCTGCTGGTCCATCAGAGCAGCCCTCACTGTGTGAAGGCTATCAGACAGCAGGTCCCTGCCCTCCAGCACAGGCTGTGCATAGGCTTTCACCAAAAATCCCCCAAAAAACTTGGTTGAGCAAAAAAAAAAAAAAAACCCAAAGAGAACAAAGGTTGCTGCGCCTTTAAGAATATCCCCGCACTCCTCACATCCCCCCCCCCACGCCAGACACGGCCGGGGAACAATGGTTTTTTTAACCGGACGGGGGCTAGAAATAACAGACTGTCGGGGCGAAAACCGGACAGCTGGCAACCCTAGCTGGGCGCTGCAACCGGCTGTAGCTGGGAAGTGCGGACAGGCCCCAGGCCACAGACAGTTACGTGTCACCACTGCAGCCCACCAATCAGCTTTCACATGGTTCCCCTCTCGCTGTCCTCTCCCTGCTTTGCCCTTTCATCCCTCACTCCCAGCCCCTCTGCTCCTCCATATCCCCCTGGGCGGGGGCAGCCCATTCCAGCTCTGTGCAGAGAACCAGCCCCTGCTTGAAGCGCTCAGTCTAGCCGGCTGGCTCCTTCCTTCCCCCACTGCCTCTGGCTGGGCTGGCCCCCCAGGGAAGTCCAAGACCCTTTGGCCCCTGCATGTGCCAAAGCCCCGCACTGTTCTGTCAGGGGAGAGTTTCTCTGCCCCTCAGCTAAGCTCCACAGAGGCAGGGGAAACCCCGATCCTGCAGGCTCCGCTGCAGGGGCTTAACACCCTCTTCCCCTACCCCTGCCCTGGATCCTGTCCCCAGGGAGTGCAGGGCTGCCCCGTCCACTAGGCACCCTCTCCTCTCTGGCCGGGTTCGCTGGCGCCCTGCAGCCATGTTCCCTGGGCATCCTCAGGGCTTAACCCCTTCCTGCCCATGCTGTCGCCAGGGACAGGAGGCGGCTGGGTTATGTCGGTGGCCAGAAGCAGCCTGAAGGGGTGAGCTGCCTTTAGACACAGTGTGGGCAGGACAAGCTGCTTCCGGCCACAGGAGAGTGGGGGGAGGGGCCTGCGTGCCCCTGCAAGTGATGCTTCAGGTCCCAGGAGGGGTGGGTCCTCCCAAAAGTTACCCGGTAGGGAGGGTTGGGTCATTGGTCGCTCCCCCACGTGAGAGAGGAACATGGGAGTGTGAAGGTGTCGCCTCGCCTGTGTGTATCCTAAAGCCCTAAATATAACCAGGTAAATAAAGAGAATCCAACGGTTTCTTTTCAACTGAGCCTCGATCAACTTGATGTTAATTTGACTCTTTGTCCTGCGTGGGACTGCCATTGAACTTGCTTGAATACGAGTCATGTTACCTGTTTACCAGCATAGGGGAAATATGGTCACCCGAAGGATATGGGCTCCGCGGCTGGTGTGTGTTAGAAGCAGAAAGCCAGAGAAAGGCATCAGAAAGCCGGGAGAAATGGTTCTGAGTGACCCCGAGAGGAAGTGGAGAGAAGGCGTTTCTTGGGCACAGAGATCACTGGGGTGGCAGACATGCGGGTCTGAGCAAGGAAACTGCCTGAGGTTGGTTGTCCCTACTGTGTTCAGGGCAACAGGACTTTGGGTGCACCTTGGGTAAATAAACTAGAACAGACCTGCCTGAGAGCATCAATTTCTCATCCTATAATGGAAGCCACTCTACAAGTCCCCCGCTTTGGCTATCGTCTGGGGCCAAAGGAGCAACAATTAAAGACGGTCAAAGAAAACTGAATTTCTGATGGACCCATACTCCTTCGGAAGACAGTTCAATTGGAATCAAACCACTTTTACCGATCTCATGTTTGGGGAAAAAACAGGGGGAAGCAATTTGACATTTTCTGAATGAACCCTTTGGATTGTTTGTTTTGCCACAATTTTCATGTCAAATTTGTACAACTGTTGTGTGACACACACAACAAAACAGACAAACGGGAGCACACAACCCTTCCTCTGGCCCAGAGCAGATCTTTTAGGGGAGTTTGCCTTCGCGGAGAATGGTGGAAGCTAAAAACCTCACACCACTTCACAGAACAGACCTTGCTAGCCTCTAGCAACAGGACTTCGAGCACATCCTCTTGGTCTCCGAAGATCGGCAGTGACCTGGCTTCACCTGGTGGTTGCTCCAGGCGCCTTCCCGCTCTTCTGCAGTGTGCTCCTCAGGCAGGACTGGGCCGCGTTGCTGCTCTCTGCTGACCACACGCAATTGTGGAATAACAATGGCCCTGGCCTACTGATGTCCAATGTCCAGCTACCACCCCCTCTGCTTCCCCCGGTCTCTCTGCCCCCATGTCATCTCTGTGGAGGGCCTCAGAGCCTCGCACCCTGAGAATGAAAACCAAACCCAGGGCAAATAGATCCATTAGTCTTTAATATACAGCAAGGGGCCCCAATGGCCCAGTCACGTTACAACGGGCATCGCACACACACCGCCTGTACCGCCGGTGCTCGGACAGCGAACAAAGAGCAGGCCCCAGGTTGGAGCTGCCAGCGGGGGATTTATTTACACAGCAGCAACTGCAACGGTGACATTGGACAACAGCGACTGGGGATGCCCAGTTTCCAGGGGTCAGCGTCAGCTAGCTCAGAAGGGCTCTCCTCAGGCCTGGGCCAAAGCCAAGGGGAGGCTCACCTTGGGGATGTGGGGCAATGAACCATCAGGCCCCAGATTAGTTCTACCATAAGGGGAGGATGGGAAGCTAGGCTGGAGCTCTTGCTTCAGTAGGTTCAGCCCTCCCCCCCATCACACCCACCCCCAAAACAAGCCCCTTGAAACTGCAGGTGAAAGAGGCTGGCCTGAGAGCCCTGGCAATTGACACCCCTCCTGTGTCCCTGGATATCAGCAGGGCCCCCGTCCTCTGCACTGCCCGGCCGACATGCCACGGCTCTGCGCTGGGTGGGGAATGTCGTCTCTGCAGCCCACTCAATCCTTGGTCTGTCTGGGGAGAGCGGGCAGGAGACAGGTGAGTGGCTTCGGCCTGTCCGCTAGACCAGTGGTTCCCAAACTTTACTGTGGTCCTGCTCAGTGTTTCCATCCAGGAGCGGAATACATTTGCTGTGCACTGAGGCAGGAGTGAATGTGCACTACCAGTAGAAACACAAAATCTAGCGGTGGGCGCTCTGTTAACATCTGGGCACCATTTGAATCTCTCTGGAGCAGCCGCCCAAGCACCCAGCTTACAGGGAGCGCTGGTGGGGGGGAGCCACCAGCTGCATTTGTCTGTTTTTAAGACCCACCATTTTGTCTAGACCTGGTGCAGATTCATGGGAGGGTCAAAAATCATAGGCAGGTGCCCTTCTTCTCCCCTGCTTCCTCCCCCTGCAGAGGGCACCGACCCCCACCCCAGCCCCTGTCCCTCAGCCCCCCATCCTGGCCTGATGCAGAGGGGAGACTCTGTGACCCTTCCAACAAGTCACAGTGCTACTCAGGCTTGGCCCGGCTGCCCTGCCAGCAATACCCAGAGCAGGGAGCCTGTCTCAGCCACTGTGGGGTGATCTTGTTCTCCACTCTGCCCCCCACCTAAGCCCTCCCCTTCACACCTGGCCCACAACCCACCTAGAAACTTCCTGCGACCCAGTGGCATCTTGGAAGAACACCCAATGTCTAGCAGGCCATTGAGTGGCCATCAGAACCCAAGCAGGCAGGGTTCAGGCCAGCGCCTGGCCCGGAGCGGGAGAGGGAGAAGGTACCCACAGCCTGGTAGAAACCCCTAAGCCACACACCACAACAGGAACAGAGTCGGCATCAGAACCTGCTAGGAGAGCAGCTGTGCAAAGCGGGACGGACATAGTCAAAGTGCAGCAAAGTGACGGTTCCCAAGTGTCCTATAGGCCCAGACTCACAGGTGCATCAGAGGGGCCAGAGACCTGCTAAGAACATGAGAATGGCCACACTGGGTCAGACCCAAGGTCCTTCGAGCCCAGTCTCCTGTCTTCTGACCATGGCCAGTGCCAGGTGCACCAGAGGGAATGGACAGAACAGGGAATCATCAGATGATCCCTCCCTGTTGCCCATTCCCAGCCTCTGACAAACAGAAGCCAGGGACACCATTCCAGCTCCTCCTGACTAACAGCCACTGAAGGACCCATCCTCCATGAACTTATCTAGTTCTTCTTTGAACCCTGTTATAGTCTTGGCCTTCACAACATCCTCCGGCAAGGAGTTCCACAGGTTGACTGTGTGTTGCGTGAAGTAGTACTTCCTTTTGTTTGCTTTAAACCTGCTACCTCTTCATTTCATTTGGTGACCCCTAGTTCTTGTGTTCAGAGAAGGAGTAAATAGCTCTTCTTTATTCCCTTTCTCCCTTTATAGCCCTCTATCCTATCCCCACCAACACGCTTAACTACAATGGGATTCTAGGCTGTCTGTGTGTGTGTGTGTGTGTGTGTGTGTGTGTGTGTGTGTGTGTGTGTGTGTGTGCGTGAGTGAGTGAGTGAGTGAGAGAGAGAGAGAGAGAGAAATGGACCCCTCTTGGCTGAATGCATTTTAGAGGGGGCCACTTCTCTGGGACAAAGGATGCAGCATCAGGGTGTTATTTTTAACCACATGGCTAATTTTCTCCTGCCCCTGTAGTGCCGTCAGCAGCCCCTTCTGTCCTTGCTCGGTCTAGTCCATGATGCAGGGGGTGCCGGTGTTCTGATACCAAGCCACACACAGCTGGGCACAGGGAGAATTGCGTCCAGCAGCCTCAGCAAAATACCCCCTTTTCTGTGTCTGCGAGTCCTGGCTCCTCTGTGCCAGCTGGGACATGCCTGGCCCTGCACAAGTAGCAGGAAGGAGAAGCCCCGTCTCACCGCAGTCCCAAAGCTTTGTGGCTTTCCATCAGTGGGGGGAGAGCGACAGGTCACGGCGACAGGAGGGGAGACTGTTCCAGACCCAGTTACATTCCTCTGGCCCCTGAGAGCCTATGACTGCCAGGACTCTCGGGATACCAAAGGGCGGGGGAGAATGGAGGCAGGAGAAGGCTGGGGCGGGGGAGCTGGTACAGCGAGCTCAGACCCAGGCCTTGACATGAGTGCTCCACTCCTTGGTGCAGCTGCACAGGCCTCCCTCCTCGTACCAGCGCCACCTCACCCCCTTGTACACGGCCCGGGCATAGGGCTGGAAGCAGAGGAAGAGGCGGAGGCGCCGCGCCAGGCTGCAGTAGACAGCCATGGCCACCACCACGAGCGGGGACATGATGACGAAGCCGAGGATGATGAGGGCGGAGGAGCTGTTGTCATCCAGGACGGTTTTGCAGTAGTAGGCAGTGGAGTGCAGCACCTGCAGGAGAAGGGAGAAAGGGCCACGCGAGTCAGAGGCCTAGGGAAGGAGATGGGCTTCCTTCGCGCCATCGCGCTCATGCGCAGGGACGTCCCTTGGGGGGTGCGGGCCTGGGGCAATCCCCCCCTCAGTTCCCCAGTTGCAGGTCCCATCCCCGCCCCGGATCCGCACCACCCCACCCCCACTCTACCTCTTCCCCAAACCCTGCCTCTGCTCTGTCCCCTTCTTCTCCCAAGCAATCCAAACTGGGAGATTATGGGGCCTCCGGAGCAGCACCACCCCACCCCCACTCTACCTCTTCCCCAAACCCTGCCTCTGCTCTGCCCCCTTCTCCTTCTCCCAAGCAATCCAAACTGGGAGATTATGGGGCCTGGCACAGGCTGGCAGCCAGGATCGCCCCCCCCCCTCACACTCACAGTGGTGGGGGGTGCCAGAGTGACCCGGCAGCCTGCTCTGCGCCGCTCCACTGCCCTCTCCCAGCCCATTGCGCCCTGCTTCTCTGCAGCGGGGGGAAGGGAAGGGAAGCTCTCTGGGACCAGAGCGCTCTACCTCCTGCTGCTGCAGTGAAGCAGGGCGCAGCAAGCCCTCCCCCTAGCCCCTTAATCCCCCGGGTCCATCCTGTCCATAGGATGGTTGAAGCAACCGTGGTGGGTCCCCCAAAGCACCGGGCCAGGAGTGGTGGCCCCAAATCGTCCCACGGACGGAACGGCTCTGCTCATGTCTGCGCAGTATCCTGGCAGCCTCCCAGGAGGTACCGGCCCTGGCCGGAAGCAGACTGGTCTGTTCTCCGCCAGACAGCTGCTGCCGGCCATCCCCAGACACTTGAATTGATGGGATTTTAATAGGAACATCAGCGGATTGTTTGTAAACACAGCGAGCGGCCTTTGCACCACAGGCCCAGCTGGAAAACTCAGCAGCCAGGGCCAGCGCGATCCACCCAAGCCCTTCAGAAACAAGCACAGTGCCCCTCAGCTGCAGAGCACCACAACTCTGCAGAGCACCACAGGAAAAGCCCAGGGCTGGGAACCTGGAGATCTGGGCTCTAGGGGCAAACTGTTCCCTGCCAGAAACCCGTCCCCACTGCAGGTGGGCTCCAGTGGGACCCTGTGACTCCTTGGAATGGTGCCGAGAGGCCCAGGGCAGGCCAGGGTTCCTTTGTGCTTTGTTCCGCGCTGCCCAGACACAGAATAAAGACCCTGCCCCAAAGACAGCCGGGGGCCGCGGGTTTCAAACGTTTTTCCTCACGACCCAGTTGAAGAAAACGGTTGATGCTGACGACCCAGCATAATTGTGTCTTTTGACCAGAGTGAGGGCTTTGGAGTGGGACCAGGAGG